TTGAAACTAACGAGCAAATCACCTGGAGATAGTGAGATGTCCTTAATTAACGATACCAAGTGAGCTGAGTTGAGTACAGCTGAAGTGGTCTTACCAGTGAATGGTTATAAGGTCTTAGACGTAAATTCGGCCAGTTTGTAGATGGGTGAGTCAATAGTGGAGACGATAGGACGAAGGAGTGTCCCTTCTTTACGGATTTTTGGTAAGCCATACAATCTGGGTGGTCTAGCAGCAGAGGGTTTTAAAGATAACCGCTTGGTTAATTGATCAAATATGTCGAATCAGTGATATTGTTCGTTTTCGTAACGAGGCGGTTGGTAGGATCTCTTTTAATTTTGGTATAGCTGCCATCATTAAGTTGGTCCTGAATTTTGTTATTGTATGTGGTTTTGTCCATAACTATGGCATTGCCCTTGTCGGCTGAGAGGATGACAATGTCATCTCTATTTTTTAATTGAGAAAGCTCAAAGCGGTCATCTTTACTGGTGTTGCTAAAAGGTGTCTTAGCGTTTATGAGGATTGCAGCGATTTCCAATCTTGCCACGTCTGCAGTAATGTGTCCCAAACCCTTAAGGGCTGCGTCGACCTGGGCAATGATATCATCAACTGGGATGTGTTTAGGGGTGACTGCGAAATTCAACCCTTTGGCTAGAACCGATTTTAGGCTGTCTGAAATTGGACTGTTACTCTGATTGATGACAATCTTGTCAACGTCTAACTTTTTGATGTGTGGATCTGGCTTCTTCTTGGAAAGGAGGTTGAACTTGGAAATCCGGTTATCTTTGCATTTGGCTGACATTGAGGCGGCTGAAGAGGCTATTATGTTATCTACATGTTCCCAATCAGATGTAGATATTTTTTCCATCAATGTTAAGTGTGATTTCAGGAGAGTCTTGTCTAAATTGTCTAATTCAAATCGGAGCAATCTTATTCTCTCTGAGATCAGGGCTAGGCCAGCCCTGAACAAGATCCGTTTAGCAATGGGAGAAGTGACAGCAGCAGATGTCAGTGTAAAGGCGATGTATTTCCGACCGTCATCACCTAGCCAGTGAACTGGAACACGTACACCAAGCTCTCAAGATGAATGGATATTCAGACTACACAATCCGTAAAGCTATCACCCTAACCGTTGGGAAAGAAACATCTGAGGACCCAATCAAAACCATCACCTTACCATACATAGCAGGGGTCACTAAAAAGATTTCCAAAATCATGAGCAAACACAAGATCCAGGTTCGATTTAACACAGTACAAAAATTCGTGATGTGATCCCATCTGTGAAGGATGTGATCCCTGACATGCAATACCCCAGCGTCTACAAACTAAGCTGTGTCTGCGGCAGTAGTTACATTGGGGAAACTAAGCGACATGTCTCAGACCGTGTTCGTGAACATAAGGCAGATCTGAAACACGGTCGGACCAATACCTTGGCCGTAGTTGATCATTGTTTTAATGCGGTGGGCTCACACGAAATTGATTTCTCTAAGACAAAGGTACTTTGCAAGCCCACTGGCTATCAACAAAGATTAGTTCATGAAGCCATCCATATATACAGACACAATTTCAACCGAGAAGATGGGTACAAACTGAGCAATCATTGGAAGGACGTTATCAACCAGTTTAAGTCATTATTGGCTATGATGTTCCCATCCAACCACCTTCCGATGTTAGTTGTGCTTTACGCCCATTTCAAACCTTGCGCTTTCACAGTCACTTCACGTGCCGACCCCTTGGCTTGCGCTCTGCGTTCTCCCATTAACATGCTAATCTCTGATTTAAAGCTTTCGTGACTGCAGGGATTCATATTCTTGGTTCTTTCGGTAAACAATATTTTTATTATTTTATTGTTTCCCTTCTACGTGACTTTACCAAAAGAACCAAGAATATAATAATCTCTCTTTAACATGCTAATTTTCACCTGGCAGCCCTCTGATTGGTGGAAAACCAACCACTGTCGGGTTGGCTACCCACCACTTACATTATCATTGGCTGCTGACATTTCAAACCTTTATAAACAATTCTAGATTTGAAGCTTTCGTGACTGCAAGGATCCATACTATTTGGTTCTATTCGGTGAAGTCACGTAGGTAAAAAATAAAACAAAAATCATGACGTTTTGGCCACAGCACAAGTGGCCTTCATCAGGTGAAGGGACCGGACTGTCCAGAGGACGGCGTTGGAGTGAAGACAGCCAAGCCCAGGTCGCGTCCTTTAAGCTGTGTGGGAGGAAACAAAAAAACGCCTTGACAAAGGAATTAGCATAAAATGATGTAGTACTATGAAAGTTTGGGATACACTACTTAAATAGATATACTGTACCATTGAAAATGAGTTTAATGTTTGGTTTGATTTAGAACATCTTTACAATGATTGCTTAATTTGAAACCATCCTCTCGGTTGCAATTGTGTCTGTGTTTGTAAATCTGAATTGCCTCGTGGACAAATCTCTGATAAAAACCCGTGGGTTTGCAGAGAACCTTGGTATCGGAGAAAACTATATCGTGATCACCCACAGCATTGTAACAGTGATCAGCTACGGCAGAGGAATTCGTTCTGCCGTGTTTCAAATCTGATTTGTGCTCGCGAATTCGGTCAGCGACATGTCGTTTCGTCTCCCCGATATACCAGTCACCACAGGTGCAGATCAATTTGTAAACCCCGGGGTACGGTAAGTCAGGAATGACATCCTTCACGTATGGGATCAGGTCACGGATTTTGTGTACTGTATTGAACCGGACCAGGATCTTGTATTTGTTTAGAATTTTGGAAATCTTTTTAGTAACGCCTGCTATATATGGTAGTGTGATGGTTTTGATCGGAGTATCAAGTGGTTGTTTCTGTATGGAGGGAGAAACAGCTTGGCGGATGGTACGGTCAGAGTATCCGTTCCTCTTGAGGGCCAGATGTACATGTTTTAATTCACTGGTCAGGTGGTGTTGGTCCGAAATGCAATGAGCCCTGTGGTATAACATTTGATGAGATAATTATTTTGCGTCGGGTGGTGGTGGGAATCAGGTTTCAAGTAGGAATCTGTGTGGGTGGGTTTCCTGTAGACAGAATGTCCCATTGAGCCATCAGGTTTCCTCTCAAACAGAACATCCAAGAATGGCAGCTTGCCATCTTTCTCCACTTCCATGGTGAATTTGATGGCGGGGTGTCTGGAATTGATGTGGTCTCGGAAAAGGTTCAAAGCTGGGAGGCCATGTGGCCAAATGACGAAAGTGTCGTCTACATATCTCTTCCACAGGGAAAGTCTGAGGATGGAAGTCTGGGTGGCGTCTGATTCAAATTTCTCCATGAAAACATTGGTGATAAGGGAGAACCCATGGGGGTCCCCTCATTTTGTTTGTAGAAGGTGCCATTCCAAGTAAAGTAGGTATTGGTGAGGCAGTGCCTAACCAGCGCAGGTGTATATAAACAGTTTGCCTTGGAAGGTAACTCTCCTTTTCCTGAAGACGACCGCTTGTGTTGCGATAGAAACGTCGTAGTTTTTTGTTATTTTCTTTGAACCTATCTACGTGACTTTACCGAAAGACCCAAGAATATGAATTCCTCTGGTCACGAAAGCTTTAAGTCAAGATTAGAGCAGTAGTTTCTTAACCTTAACTGCAGCCTTGTACCCCTTTGGTTCTCAATCGTAAAAAAAGTGCAATGTTCATAAATACGTAGGGTTTGATGAAATAAAGTAGTTTTTGTACTTACGTGCCTGTGCTTAATTTGTGTTTCGATTATTTACCTTCTAAAACAAGCTGGCCATGTCTCGCACACCCCAGGGGATGCACGCACCCCAGGTTACGAACCACAACTGCCTGAAAGGATCGAACGAAGCAAACAAACACCGTGCCCAGTCCTTGTGGCGTGAGTCCACTCCACGTTCCCCCTCCCTCTTGGCGTGAAGCCATCCCGGGTTCCCCCTCCTCTTGGTGCGAGTCCACTCCGCGTCCCCCCCTCCTCTTGGCGTGAATCCACTCCGTAGTTCCCCCCTCCTCTTAGCGTGAGTCCATCCCGGGTTCCCCCTCCTCTTGGCGCGACTCCCCTCCGCGTTCCCCCCTCCTCTTGGCGTGAATCCACTCCGCAGTTCCCCTTCCTCTTGGCGTGAATCCACTCCGCAGTTCCCCCTCCTCTTGGAGCGACTCTACTCCCGCTCCTCTTGGCGTGAGTCCACTCCGCGTTCCCTCCTCCTCTTGGCGTGAGTCCATCCCGGGTTCCCCCTCCTCTTGGCGTGAGTCCACTCCCGTGTTCCCCCCTCCTCTTGGCGTGAGTCCACTCCCGCTCCTCTTGGCGTGAATCCATCCCGTGTTCCCCTCCTCTTGGCGTGAGTCCACTCCCGCTCCCCTTGGCGTCAGTCCACTCCCGTGTTCCCCTCCCCTTGGCGTGAGTCCACTCCCGCTCCTCTTGGCGTGAGTCCATCCCGTGTTCCCCTCCTCTTGGCGTGAGTCCACTCCCGCTCCTCTTGGCGTGAGTCCATCCCGTGTTCCCCTCCTCTGGCCCCGCGCCCCCAATGCGGGGTCACAACACTGCGCTGCTGCTGCCGCTGCCGCTTCTCACTGTGGCAGCCGCAGCCGCCGCAGCCGCAGCAGCCGCCTCGCAATTCGTGGAAGCGCGCAGAAGCAACACAGAGCGCAGCACCCGGAGACACGAGTAGGGGGATACGGGGCAGCCGCACACACGGAGACGGACAAGACGCACACACAGAGACGGACAAGACAGAGACACACAGAGACGGACAAGACGCACACACAGAGACACAGAGAGGCACACACAGAGACGGACAAGATAGAGACACACAGAGGCACACACAGAGACGGACAAGACAGAGACACACAGACGGACAAGACAGAGCCACAGAGAGGCACACACAGAGACGGACAAGACAGAGACACACAGAGACGGACAAGACGCACACACAGAGACACACAGAGGCACACACAGAGACGGACAAGACAGAGACACACAGACGGACAAGACAGAGCCACAGAGAGGCACACACAGAGACGGACAAGACAGAGACACACAGAGACGGACAAGACAGAGACACACAGAGAGGCACACACAGAGACGGACAAGACAGAGACACAGAGAGGCACACACAGAGACGGACAAGACAGAGACACACAGAGAGGCACTGCGGCCGAGCGAGGGGTTCCCTTGTGGTTGCCGGGGGAGAGAGGCAGCGCGCCATGGATCCGTTCCGCAGGGCAGCCCAGGAGGAGTTGGACGAGAGGCCCCTCACGATGGACGAGGACGACGACGAGGAGGACGAGCAGGAGGACGAAGAGATGCGAAGCGACCTGGCGGGGCCTGCGGTGAGAGGCTCCTATTCTCGGGTACGAGCATTCGCAACAACAACAACAAAGATCAACACACCACAGCGACACACACAGCAACACAACACACACAGCAACACACACAGCAACACACACAGCGACACATACAGCAACACACACAGCAACACAACACACACAGCGACACATACAGCAACACACAGCAACACAACACACACAGCAACACAACACACACAGCAACACAACACACACAACAACACACACAACAACACACACAGCGACACACACAGCAACACACACAGCAACACAACAAAGCAACACAACACATACACAGCAACACAGCACACACACAGCAACACACACAGCAACACAACACAGCAACACAACACATACACAGCAACACACACAGCGACACACAGCAACACACACAGCAACACAGCAACACAACACATACACAGCAACACAACACACACAGCGACACACACAGCAACAACAACCGCCATTCGCCACTAAGTGGCGGTGACGTCACCACGTCGGCAACACACACAGCAACACACACAGCGACACATACACCAACACACACAGCAACACACACAGCGACACACACAGCAACACACACAGCGACACATACAGCAACACACACAGCAACACACACAGCGACACATACAGCAACACACACACCAACACAACACAGCAACACACACAGCGACACACACAGCAACACACACAGCGACACATACAGCAACACACACAACGACACATACAGCAACACACACAGCAACACACACCAACACACACAGCAACACACACAGCGACACATACAGCAACACACACATACACAGCGACACACACAGCAACACAACACATACACAGCGACACACACAGCAACACAACACATACACAGCGACACACACAGAAACACAACACACACAGCGACACACACAGCAACACACACACATACACAGCGACACACACAGAAACACAACACACACACACAGCGACACACACAGCAACACAACACACACACACAGCGACACACACAGCAACACACACAGCAACACACACACACAGCGACACACACAGAAACACAACACACACACACAGCGACACACATCAATACATGCAGAGCAACAAAGACATCCCCGATATATTCAGACTGTGAGTAGCAGCGATAAAGGTCGGCACGGCACACGAGGGATGGCTGGCCGGCACCAATCACAGAAACACACACGGGCACAATAACACACATACACACACATCAACACAATAACACACACATATCACACACACCAACACAATAACACACATCAACACAATAACACACACATCAACACAATAACACACACACATCAACACAATAACACACATCACACACATCAGCACAATAACACACACACATCACACACACCAACACAATAACACACACACATCACACACACGTCAACACAATAACACACACATCAACACAATAACACACATCACACACATCAGCACAATAACACACACATCAACACACAAACACAATAGCAACACACACATCAACTCTAACACAATAGCAACACACACATCAACATACTAACACAACAATAGCAACACACACATCAACACACCAACACAATAACAACACAATAGTAACACACACATCAACACACACGGGCACAATAACACACACACACACATCAACACAATAACACACACACATCACACACACGGGCACAATAACACACACACATCAACACACATCACACACATCAACACAATAACACACATCACACACACCAACACAATAACACACATCACACACACCAACACAATAACACACACACATCACACACACACACACATCACACACACCAACACAATAACACACACACACACATCACACACACTAACACAATGACACACACACATCAACACACTAACACAATAACACACACATCAACACACTTACACAATAGCAACACACACATCAACACACTAACACAATAGCAACACACACATTAACATACTAACACAACAATAGCAATACACACATCAACACACCAACACAATAACAACACAATAGTAACACACACGGGCACAATAACACACACATCAACACAATAACAACAATAACACACATTTCAGTTTCAGTTTATTTATTTTGGTATAGCCCTGTGAGCCATTCGGCTCTTGAATCGGGTGCAACCACAACAAACAAAAACACGAACAAGATAACATCTTAAAGTGACTATGTGACTGTGCGAACAGAAAATCCATGGAAAAAAAACAGCAAAAATATTCCTGAAAAAATCACCGTACACCAACGCTGTGTGCAAAAAATCCCAGTGGGATGCAAGTCAAACAACAACAACCACAAGAAAACTTAGATTAAGGCCATCAGTCTAACTCCGTACTACAACAAAACAAACATGTCCAAACCAAAAAACTTTTCGAAATCACCGAAAAATAAAGCCATAATTGCAACGTAACAGTGATCATAGGGACTGTGACCGAATTTTTACAATAAACTACATAAATAACATGTAACACCAAATCCTAGAGCCATAGCTGGCTGCATGAGTTACTCCACAACAACAGAAGCATCAGTCGGAGTATCACATTTTTCAATGCACCTTTAAGATCAGCACGCTAATCAAAGTACAGATAATACTTTGCAGCGTCATCCGGAGCGAAACATTTTATTTTACGCCAATGAATAGCAGTGGCAGCTAGGGGTGTACAACTCCTCTAGAGCAGTTTTGAGAGAAGATCTCATTGGTAGCGATTCAAGTGGCAGTTTATTGGCAATAGCATTCCATACCCTGGGGGCATCAATAGCAAAGGCCCTTCCTCCAGTTTTTGTACGGCAATAGGGAATGTGAAGCTGGTAAATGAGCGCAGAACTGAGGTCAAATTTGTTCTTTGAAACAGAGAGGAGATCCAGCAGGTAGTCTGCGGATTTTTTTGTAAGTACATCTATGAATAAATAATAACAATAACATGTACATCAACACACTGACACAATAACACAATAGCAACACACACATCAACACAACAATAGCAACACACACGGGCACAACAATAGCAACACACACATCACACACACCAACACAATAACAACACACATCAACACACCAACACAATAGCAACACAATAACAATACGGCAACACACCAACACAACAATAGCAACACACGCGGGCACAACAACACCACACACATCAACACAAAAACAACACAACACCACACATCAACACAAAAACAACACAACACCACACACATCAACACAAAGACGACACAACAGCACCACACACATCAACACAATAACAACACAACAACACACATCAACACAAAGACAACACAACAACACCACACACATCAACACAAAAACAACACAACACCACCACACACATCAACACAAAGACAACACAACACCACCACACATATCAACACAAAGACAACACAACACCACCACACACATCAACACAAAGACAGCACAACAACACCACACACATCAACACAAAGACAACACAACAACACCACACACATCAACACAATAACAACACAACAACACCACACACATCAACGCAAAGACAACACAAAGACAACACACAGCAAACAAAGACAAGAATCAGCCCTATCGCCATAACAGACTTGAGACGGGGACTGTTCTCGGCACAGATCAACAACAACAACACAGAGAGGCGACCCACACACAGATCAACAACAACAACACAGAGAGGCGACCCACACACAGATCAACAACAACAACAACACAGAGAGGCGACACACAGATCAACAACAACAACACAGAGAGGCGACCCACACACAGATCAACAACAACAACACAGAGAGGCGACACACACACACAGATCAACAACAACACAGAGAGGCGACCCACACACAGATCAACAACAACAACACAGAGAGGCGACACACACACAGATCAACAACAACACAGAGAGGCGACACACACACAGATCAACAACAACACAGAGAGGCCACCCACACACAGATTAACAACAACAACACAGAGAGGCGACCCACACACAGATCAACAACAACAACAACACAGATCAACAGTGCCTGTGTCTGAGTGTTTTTAATCGTGCCTTGTGTGTACCCACGGAGGGCCTCACTGAGTCTCGTGACTCTCGTGTCTCAGGAGGGGAGGGTCCTGCCCGAGTTAATTGCCGCTGCTGCTGCAGCAGGAGGCGGCGTGAACACTGTGGGGGGGGGGGCGGGCAGCGTGAACACTGTGGGGGGGGGGGCGGGCAGCGTGAACACTGTGGGGGGGGGGCAGTGTGGACACTGTGGGGGGGGCAGCGTGAACACTGTGGGGGGGGGGCGGGCAGCGTGAACACTGGGGGGGGGGGGGGGGCGGGCAGCGTGAACACTGGGGGGGGAGGCAGTGTGGACACTGTGGGGGGGGCAGCGTGAACACTGGGGGGGGGCGGGCAGCGTGAACACTGGGGGGGGGGGGCAGCGTGGACACTTTGGGGGGGGGCAGTGTGGACACTGTGGGGGGGGGGGCAGTGTGGACACTGTGGGGGGGGGCAGCGTGGACACTGGGGGGGGGGGCAGCGTGAACACTGGGGGGGGGGCGGGCAGCGTGAACACTGGGGGGGGGGGGGCGGGCAGCGTGAACCCTGGGGGGGGGGGCAGCGTGAACACGGTGGGGGGGGGGGCAGCGTGAACACTGTGGGGGGGCAGCGTGAACACTGTGGGGGGGGGCAGCGTGAACACTGTGGGGGGGCAGTGTGAACACTGTGGGGGGGGGCAGCGTGAACACTGTGGGGGGGGCAGTGTGGACCCGTACAGTAGGAGAGGAATCCGTACAGTAGGAGAGGGACTCGTACAGTCGAGCGGCGCACTCACAAGGCACGCACCCCGCTCACCCCCTCGTCACCCCCTCGTCACCCCTCTCCCACACACCCCTCGTCACCCCTGCCCTCCTCACCCCCACCTCACCCCCTCCTCACCCTTCTCCCACACACCCCTCGTCACCCCTGCCCTCCTCACCCCCTCCTCACCCCTCCGACACTCACCCCCTCCTCACTCA